GGTGGAGACATTTTGTATTCGCGGAATTGGCCATGTTTGGATTGCGTGGTGGAGACATTTTGTATTCGCGGGATTGGCCATGTTTGGATTGCGTGGTGGAAACATTTTGTATTCGTCCGCGAATGTTGGCCTCTATAATTGAAATTTGATTCTGATGATTTTTATGAGAAAAAATGTATCACTTTTATCGTCTGCTAACATCAGAGAGAGGAGATCTGGCTCAAACAGTTCGTCTTTATTTCGACATCAACAAGTTATGCTCAGATTTTGAAGGATTTTTAGAAGAAAACTTTTAACTTAATAAAATATTTCAATTAGAATTTTGACTCTCATATATATATACAAACCCTCTTACAGTGCCAGGAAGTATTTTATTCTTAAATATAAAAAAAAAAATATTGCGTTATTTTAATCCATGGATTATGATGAGTTCTTTCATTAACAGTATTCATGACAGGTAGCCAGTAAGAAAGATACATTTGTGTATCTCAAGACGAAATATGAAATTCATACATTAGATTGATAATTATAACACCGTGTCAGATATGACGTAAATAATAATTGATCCCCAGTATGCTTAACATTCAGTTATAAACATTCTTTCTGAATCTAACATTTTAGATATCTTGTCAAATTGCCAACACGATTTAATTAACTGTTACCTTTTGTACTTCTCTATAAAGTCAGTTTCACGTCAGTATGATTGAATGGGGTTTGAATACAACCAAAGTTACTCAACACTTTAGCCTTGTCAGATGTTATTAATTTAATCGTAACTGGATTGTGCTGGTTGATTTATTTAATGGATTACAGGAATATCTAGCTTCTAACCTGTGAGTTCTAGGATCGAGTTGTTGCTCAAGTTGTAAACAGCGGCGAAGTCATCACTCTTCCGTTCCTGAGAGCATCTTCCCTCACCTAAAGTCATCTTGATATCCGCCATGGCTGTTGATCTCAGTTTTCAGTGTTCGAAACGATCTCCTGAACATCTAACCTAAAGTGACTAACGAAGTTACACGAGATACAGCTTTTTAAGTCATACATCTTGACAAGAACGTGTAGCAAGTCTAGACCAATAATACTCCAGTGTGATCGTACAGTCGGAGCACCTGCATGACAAAAGCTACGATTGGCTATTTCATCATCACAGTAGGTGGAGTCGCGAGTTTCACGCCTCAGTGATAGTGACTCGAAGGCGTTGCTATACGACGTATGAAAACGTCAAAATGTTTTACTTTCCCATCACATCCCAACTAATGAGTTTTCGACATCATTTGATAACTCCATCATGCGTACACTTAGCGTTGTCATTACTTCTATAACTGATAAAGATGAATCCGTACATCTGTCAGTTATTAGCTGTATATCAAACCGTAAATAAGTTAAGCTACCTTACTAACCTACTTATACACCCAATACGCTCTAATACTCAATGGGAATTCAACATCATACACTAAATAAAGGTTTTACAGTGAGCGACATCTATGTTTTAAAATGGTTCGTTAAAGGAAGTTCAGTCGATGCTAAACTTTATTTACTGATGCTGATTAGTGAAAATGTCTTTGGAGAAAATCTCACAGAGATGGCGAGACGTGGCTTTGCAAGAAGATATATTAGAACTATTGTATTTTATCTTAATTATGGGCAGACGCTCGTGTTTTCTTATTTGTGTTATTTTATGATCGAAAGATTCCATATTGTATGTGTGTTTATAAAACGATTCCGGTGTTATTTATGCATGACAGTTTTAGGTTCGTGCCTTTTGTTTAAATATACATGTTCTGAATATATTCGTATACGAATAGGAAACTTAGCATGCGCAGTAAAAGGTCTCATTGTTGATGTGAGAGCCAAGTAAAAGGTCTCATTGTTGATGTGAGAGCCAAGTTATTAACGGTTTTTAAGAAGGTAAGTCGTGAACCTTTTAAGCTTAGTATTTAGTGTCATGCATTTTATGGTAATTAACGTAAACAGCATCTAGCAGTAGCACACGCGATTTGACTGTTAAACAGAGAACAGTATATGTGATCTGACTGTTAAACAGATAGTAATATAATATATGATTTTACTGTTAAACAAATAGTAATATGATTTTACTGTTAAACAGATAGTAATATAATATATAATTTGGCTATTAAACATATAGTAATATAATATATGATTTTACTGTTAAACAAATAGTAATATGATTTTACTGTTAAACAGATAGTAATATAATATATAATTTGGCTATTAAACATATAGTAATATAATATATGATTTTACTGTTAAACAAATAGTAATATGA